CCGCCTAGCCTGCTAGTAAAGTTGCATTGTAAACACGCGTACTTGTAAGTTGTAACGTTATTATTAGGCCTATACATACGATTGTTAACAACCGGTTCGTGGGGGTAATTAAATTCTAAGAACAGGTTCGCACGAACCGGTGCAAACCGGCTGAATCCCACCACTGCATACTTGCTCAGACCAGATCACAGTTGATACTTTTACTAGGCCTTGCTTAGTCCTGCTAACAAGTTCTGTAGACAATGTCAAATATGTTCAAGAGTTTTGCTGAAGTACCTTATCACCACAAATAGTTGCTTTTCTGTGCTCATGTTTGTCCTTTCATCAGTAATTAGCGAATATGACTCTTAACTAATAACATCATCTGGCTCAGTTACAGAATTTGTTGAGTATTTTGTTCTGATACCTCTCTGATTATCAACTGTGAGGATTCTACCAGCTTTAATTCACAAATTTTAAGAATTGTCAACATGTACTTCCTGAATTTCCATGTGAAATAAGATTCTTGTGTTTGAAAAGGGAACTTCATTTCAAATATGTTGTTACTGTGAGCTATAAGATTGCTGAGATATGCTCAGACTTCACATTTACGGTAATGACATGCTGCTTTTGAACTATCACCAGGTGCACTGCTAATCTATTCTTTTAAACCATTTTGCCCACTTATCCAGTGGTATCTCTTATTCAAATTAAATTTTTGAGGCTATTTCTTTCCCTTCTTCCTACAGCTCCTAGGTTTCTACCTGTTGCTTAAAATGGCTGTTCACCATTAGTATTAACAGACCTACACCCCCGAGTCAACTTTCATGGCCATGTGCAAAATTGGTGTTCTGATTGGTACACGGTTTGAATGAAGTTTGGGTATAGTTATGGAGAGCAATAATATGTTCACTTAATTACCTTTGTGACTTTGATATTTTTTTTTTTAATAAATTAGGTTAAACTAGCAAATGTGAGATCTTTAGAAAATAGCCCAAAAAGTAGCGCTGTGTGACTCCTAAATATTTCCTGTGGCTGCCTTTTTGAAGTAGCCCAATTCTACAGGAAAACTGTGGACCTGGCAAGACTGAGATAGAAACAGTTTAAAAACCTAGGTGTTCTTGTATTAGAAGAGCCAGGCTCTGCTGAAGACATTGAGAAAGGCTTCAAATCATTTGATTTATTTGCACAGGCTAATAGGCATTTCAGACTGAAGATTCTTCAGATCCAGTTGGAGTAGCCTAAATATAATTGTATATTTGAGAAAGGCTTCAAAGCATTTGATATATTTGCACAGGCTCATAGGTATTTCAAACTGAAGATTCTCCAGATCCAGTTGGAGTAGCCTAAATATAATTGTATATTTGAGAAAGGCTTCAAAGCATTTGATATATTTGCACAGGCTCATAGGTATTTCAAACTGAAGATTCTCCAGATCCAGTTGGAGTAGCCTAAACATAATTGTATATTTGAGAAAGGCTTCAAAGCATTTGATTTATTTGCACAGGCTAATAGGCATTTCAGACTGAAGATTTTCCAGATCCAGTTGGAGTAGCCTAAACATAATTGTATATTTGAGAAAGGCTTCAAAGCATTTGATTT